GAAGTACAAAAACGTCACTTCTTCAGTGTTACTTTTTTAAATGTTCCACACTAGCAACTTACACGATGAACTATAATAATATTCCGACCAACAACCACACTTACTGGACCAACAACAACACTTACTGGACGTCCGGCGCGGAGAACAATTAACGAGATAATGAGAAACTGACGAAACGAGTTGCTTACTTTTAACAGCTTTTTCACAGAAAACTAGTTTTCGCACGTAAGCTCCCTTTTCGTAGACCAGGTCACATATATATTTTTTTAATTATTATTATTATATTATTATTTACATTACATATTTTGCTGTAGGTGGTCCCATATTTGAATTCCGTCAGATGTAACTTAAAAATGATGATATGTAATTTCGGTACTCATTTTATTTGTCGCCGATTCGAAAAAGTATTTGTGAAGTGCAGAAACAAAGTGTATTCAAAGAAAAATTTGTATGAGGAAATTTAAATAGTATACTAGCATAAAGAAAACAAAATCCTACTGATGTCTTCATGACTCCAGCATTACTTTTCAACTAGTTTAAAGTTGGTTTTTTGTAGTTAAATAAAGACATATCGAAATGGATTTTTTATCAATAGAAGCTTTTTAGAACTTTCTCTTATTTATGTGTCAAGTACTCGGTGGGTTTTTATTTCATTAATAATCTCCTTTGATGAGTGTTGCCTGTCACTAAGTAGTTCTTTTGTGACTCTCTGTGATTTGAAGTTCCTACTTAAAGTGGTCTTAATGGTAGGTACCCAGTTGGTACTATGTATGCACATTAGACCGTACGAAAAAAGTGTGCCATGGGGTTTGGAATCATTAGGATTTTATTATTTTGCACTCATGAAAAGTACAATTCGAAGTAACTTTATAAATATCACCATTGTAATTGCGGATCTGCATCAATTTTTCTACGTCGCCAAATGTATCGATAATTTTTTGTGTTCCATAGACGTGTAGTTATAAATATGTATGTACCAAGAAAACAATTGACCAAATTTAGTCACTTGTTAACGTCAATAAACGTGAGTATGTACATAAATATGAATAAATTAATTTAAGCACTTGCGCAGCTTTTGATATGTATGTACATATGTAATTAATAATCCTACGCTCTCCAAATGTGTCTACTGATTTTCCATCCGACCTAACATAAATTTAGATTGCAGAGGTAGAAAAGAGAGATTGAACGTAGTTCAATTTAAATCTTCTGTTGTTGTTGTAACAGCATATAAATTCCGCAAAGAGTTTTTGGGAAATCATGCTGAGTGCCAGTTCTTGGCCAGATCTCAATCTGGGTCGTTCCAGTTACGTAGACCCGACAGTTGTCGGAACGAAACGCTTTAAGGCTTCTAATATATATACAGTCATATTGTTGTAACAACAAAACACTACCCCAGAAAGTAAAAGATCGTTAAAATCTTATATATTTTTATATTTTACATACATTTCAAAAGAGAAATTAATGAAAAACGAAAATACATGCTGACAAGTAAAGGCCTACGGATTTTATTGCTTTACAGATAGCGATATCAGTTTAAAAATACATACATATGTATATGGATTATGTATGTAGGTATGTACATTAGACTGCATCACCAAAAATGGTTACGAGTTTTCCGCCGGGATTGCAAAATCTGTTATATTTTATTATTATTATTATTTTTATGCAGATTTTTGAAGCTTAAGCTGTTGCTGTTTTGGGATTTTTTTTCAAAAAACTCCTTTATGAAACTATATTCATAAAAACCTAAATATTTGACGGTATTTTCAAATCGGTCCAGCTTACGTGAATCTTAAAATTTTTCCGAAATAGTTTAGTGCAAGTCTTAAAATATAATACATTTTATAATTCCAGTTGAAAAACAGCACCGATTTTTTTTTTGTATGGGGAGTGATGCAGTCTAATGTACATATGTACATATATGGTAAAAGATAAAAATTGTGAAGCAAAAGTCATGGTAACGAAAGTATGTAATGAAAATAAATATGTCATAAGGCTTTAAACTAACTGCGTTGCGAACTATGTAGTAACTTATCTACATAGCTGGAAGCTTCTTTTTCACTTTTTCCACTTCCCATCCAAGAATGAAATGATAAGATTTTGGAAATTGCTAGATTACCTACTATGTAAATAAAATCGCAGAAATTATCGCTTGACTGTCAACACCAACGGCACTATTCATCATGGAAGGATACATTGAATACGTCATCAATGGTCGTCAAAAGTACTGGATGTATGGATGTATAGCATTTGCCCGCTACATCTCGACCACAAAATATACAAAAGTACAACGCAATTAAATGAAGAAGGAAATCAAAATAAATAGCTGCTTTTATTTTTTTACGAGCTGTTATTTAACTCGCTCTGTATGTATGTTTGTTAGGAGTAAATCTTGCAATAAATTTTTGACCAATTTCCCGATGACCTAGAGACTTGAAACTTCACAGTTGGCTCAGAACCCGATGACAATGCAATACGAAAAACGAGTTAAGCCGATAGGAGGCGCAGGAGTCGAGATTATTTACATGAAAAGGAATAGCGCCAATAAAAATTTTCCCGATAGGTGGCCCCCGAGTCGGCATATGTATTTGGTAAACCAGTATTTATGGTCCAATTTCTTTCATATGTATTTAGAAAGCTTGCTTTAAACATATTTTTTTTACAATTAACTTATTACTTAGATAATAAACAAGGAGAGGGAGTGGGAAAGGTTGGAGATGTAGCGGGCGCAATATCGCTGCTCATATGTATAAGAAAGTATGTATGCGCGCGTGTGATAAGTTCGAATCAAAGAAAGGCTTAAGATGGTGGGCATGGAATGCAAATTTATTGTAATCGAGCGTTATTACCTAGGGATTGTGCCCAATGATTGCTTTTATATTTTTCGCAAAATTTTTCTTAATGAAAATATATTATTAGAAAAATCTTTATATTCAGTACTATGTTATTATAGAGCACGTATGTACATACATATGTATATACTCGTATAAATACAAATATACATTTGTGTGTATGTATGTATGTAGTTCTTATCATTTTCACTACATATTCAACTGATTTGATTAGATAAACGCGTTCGTACATACATATGAAAAAAACTTGGAAGTAACGATTAATTTTACAATAAATTGCATTATTTACAGATAAGATTTGTGCTGACAATACTTACGAATTATCTGACTTTGTTCATATAGTATGTATATACATACATATGTATGTATATACACGCCTTTGTATTTATTTTTCTTTATATAAATATAGACCTCCTGCAAGTATACCGGCAAGGGAAAATTCCGATCCGAGAATAGGCAAGTAATATTTATAAATTTATTATAAGGGGCAATTATGTATGATAACCTGTACCAATACAGCTACGATATTAAACAACGTAGATTTTAAGAGATTGCTCTGTTTTCACAGGCCTTTATACACACCAAATAATATCTTATTAATTTTCAGTTGGCTTGCGCAATGTCGACCATAGGGACATTAGCGGGAGTTGTCATCTAAAGTTCTGTGAATATCGTTCAGTAGGTCAATGGTGTATATTCTATGCTTTTCGGTGCGTTGTTAATTCATAACAATAAAATTCAAACGGTTTCCATGGTAGCAATCATAAAATTGTAAATGCAAATCCAAGACCATTTGCACAATATCCCGAACAGCCCTTATATGTTCACAATATTGCTAGCACTGTACAGTCATTGTTGTTGTTGTTGTAGCAGCATACAAACTCCCCCAAAAGAGTTTTTAAGAAGTGTTGCTGGAGTGACAGTCCTTTGCCAGATATAAATCTGGGTCGTTCCGGTTACGTAGACCCGACTGTCATGGGAACGCTGTACAGTCCTTTGTGCTGTTTGATGTGAGCACATGTCTTTACATAAATAAAAACTAGCGGCTGCTGTGCTGTACTGGTTAGCAGTGCGCGCTACCATTCCACACAGGCCAGGTTCAAGCCAAGTTTCCATATATAGAAAGGCCCTATCTCATCCCGTCACTGAAATACAAAAAACCATAACAACTAAAAAGCCACAATTCACTTTTTGTTTGATTATGATGTATTTCACCCACATCGCTTATGCAATACAAAGTTATAGTTAGTTACGTTTTTTTTTTGCAATTAAGCGACATGTGACATAAGACCTTTATATATTTAGGTGACGATATGTATGTAACGTCGGTTTCTGACCCACCTGGAGCAGTTATTTATCTTGTTACAACAAAGATTGTAGTGTTCGGATATATGTAAGTCGAGGGCTTACATATATTCCATATCTAACATTTACAATTTGCCGAAAACTAGTTTTTGATGTTAGTATCTATCTGCAACCTAGCTGTCATCACTGATGCTAGTTCTAACTACGCAATCCATTTTTAGATTCTATACTTTTAAATCTTATGTGGTTTTCTTTTTAAATCTAAAGCTCATATATGTGAAAATTGCAGATATAATAATAAAAAAATTGCAGATAGAGAAATACTTTAAATAGTTTATACAAACAGATGACGGTTACATCTGCTATTCGAGTAGGTATGTAGTTACGTACATACATAGGTATGAAGGAAAAGTCCGTCAGTTGTATGCAAATTGTCTTGGTAACAAATTGTCTTTTGCTGTTATTCCATTTATCCGTCTTCAGGCTAACGAATGTTGATTACGCGCATCAAATATGAAATAGGGATGATGAATAAGTCGTGTTGGCATACACGTGCTCGCTAGCGGCTAGCATGGAAATTTTGAAGAAATCAATTTCGATTATAAACCAAAGAATTTGCGTCTTGGCAATAACATTTGGAACATACAATTCCATTAGTATTTAGAATGAAGGTTCCTACAAATATATATATGTATTTATTTAGATTATTAGCTTACATGCAAAAATACAAAGCAGTATCAGTAAAATACATAAAAAAACAAACGCATTAAATTTTGTTGCTATCGGGTGGCAATCAGACGTGTTGCATTTGTACATAATAAAATCAAAACGCTTACTCACCTGACTGACTGATTTGCTATGTGACCGCAAATGTTGGACTTTCAGCCCTATGGCACTCCAGTAGTCGGAGAATTGGTTGGCGCTAAATGCGCTGTTTACACTTAAAGCTACTGTACGCTAGAAATTTTCCTTTATGTCCGTTTGATAGTATTGAATCACCAGCCTCTATGCTGGATGACCAACAAAATGTGTAGTACGGTGATTTATAACGCTTGTCTTCTTGCACACTGTTATTGTTACTGCGTGATTCACTACTATAAATATCCAATTTTTTTTTATTTGTACAATAAGATCTACACAAT